AGCTGCTGCACCTGATTCTCTTTTTCTTTTGCTGCTGCTGCTGCTTGCTGCTGCTGCTGCTGCAGCAATTTCTGCTGTTCTTGTGCTGCTGCTGCTGCTGCTGTACTCTCTGCCTTCCTCTCCTGCTGCAGTACCTCTAATGCTGCTGCTGCTTCCTTACTCTTTTGCTGCTCTGTTAGTAGCTGCTGCTGCATGTCTCCGTACTTCTGCTGCAGCTGCATCTGCTGCTGATGCAGTTGCTGCTGCAGTTGGTCTCTTTGCTGCTGCGCTTGCTGCTGCTGCTGCTGCAGCTCTTTTTGCTGCTGCAGCTCATTTTGCTGCAATTTTTGCTGCAAATTATCTGCTTTTTTCTGTGCTTCTTGCTGCTGCTGCTGCACCTCCTCTAATCTGTGCTGCAGCTGCTGCACTTGCTGCTGCTGCTGCAGCAACTTATGTGTTGTCTCCTTTAGTCTCTCCTGTGTCTCTCTTAGTGTCTCCTCTATCTTGCTCCTATCTAGTAAGTGTCTCCTTAGATCTATTGTCTCCTTTTCTAGCTGCTGCTGCTGCTGCTGTCTTGCTTCCTCCCTTAGCTGCTGCTCTCTTGCTTCTGTGTCTGTTATACGTTGCTGCAGCAGCTGTGCTTCTTGCTGCAGTTGCTGCAGTTGGGCTTGTGCTGCTGCTGCTTCCTGCTGCAGCAAATCACGCTGCTGCTGCACCTCCCTCTTATTATCTAGTGTCTCCTTTAGGTATTCATTGTCTCTTTTTCTTGCTGCTCTTTCTGCTGCTAGTTGTGCTTCTGCTGCTGCTTTTGCTGCACGTAGTGCTTCCTCATTACGTCGTAGCTGCTGCTGCTGCTGCTGCTGTTGCTGCTGTCTCTCCTTCTCTGCAGCAAGTGTCTCCTCTAATGCCTCCTTCTGTGCTGTTTGCTGCTGCACCTCTCCTTGTAGCTCGCTTACCTGCAGCAGCAAACTATCTATTTGCTGCTCTGTCTTTATTTTTGCTGCTGCTGCTGCTGCTGCTTCCTGCTGCAGCAGTGCAACCTTCTGCTGCAGTCCTGAACAAAGTTGCTGGTGTCTCTTTTCTGCTGCTGCAGCAGCAGCAGCAGCAGCATCTTTTGCTAATGCTGCCTCCCTTTTTGCTTCCTCCTCCTTACGCTGCGCTGCAGCTAGCTGCCCCTCTGTTATAGCTAGCTGGCTAGCTGTATCAGCTAGCTGCTGCTGCAGTCTCTCTGTCTCTACATCTATTTTAATAATATATTGTGCCTGTCTCCTTCTTTCTGTCTCTGCTGCTGCTAGTGTCTCCTCTGTCTCCTTTTGTCTCCTTTTTATTCTTCTTATTTCTTCCTCATAAAAACGCTCATTCCCTCTTAGACGATTTATTTCTTCATCTATATCTACATGTGATGATTCTATCTATACACACAAAAAAAAAATAAAAAAAACTAAAACCCTAAACCCTAAACCCTAAACCCTAAACCCTAAACCCTAAACCCTAAACCCTAAACCCTAAACCCTAATTTTTTTGGCATAGAAGAAAAAGTCAGGGTTTAGGACTTGGAGGTTAGGTGTTTACACTTTACATAAAGCAAAATCCCTATAGATAAATAAAGGTCCTAGGGTTTAGGGTTTAGGGTTTAGGGTTTAGGGTTTAGGGTTTGACGGATACTTACCTCTTGCAGCTTTGTTGTTGCCTCTGCTGCAAGGGCCTGCGCCTCCTCAGCAGTTCGCTGCGCAGCACCTTTGTCTATTTGGAGGTGTCTCTGCAGCAGCAGCAGCAGCAGCAGCAGCAGCAGCACAGCAGCAGCAACAAAAGCACAGGAGAGGCCAGTGCAACAAAGGCGACAGAAGGAGGAACTGCCCTAGACAAACCCTAAACCCTAAACCCTAAACCCTCGTACAGTCGTAAGTATAAACATTGATAAAGAAACCAACACATGTCCAAAAAAATTAGGGTTTAGGGTTTAGGGTTTAGGGTTTAGGGTTTCTTACACAGAAGTTGGTGAGTTCATCAACTTGTCTTGTTAATTGCTCAACATGTATTTGCTGCTGCATGCATCTTTCCTCTAATTCAACTAGTTGCTGCTGTCTCCTGTCCGCCTGCAGCAGCAGCAGCAACAGCAGCAGCAGCAGCAGCAGCAGCAATAGAGTCCCCCTTTAGTGTCTCCTTTTTATTTATTTAGTGTCTCCTTTTTATTAATTAATTAATGTGTCTCCTTCTTATTAAATAATTAATTAACTAATTAATTAATTAATTAATTAATTAATTAATTAATGTCTCCTTTCTATTAATTAATTAAGTGTCTCCCTTTAATTAATTAATTAATTAATTAATTAATTAATTAATTAATTAAGTGTCTCCTTTTTATTAATTTATTTAGTGTCTCCTTTTAATTAATTAATTAATTAATTAATTAATGAATAAAGTGTCTCCTTTTTATTAATTAATTAATTAATTGTCTCCTTTTAATTAATTAATTAATTAATAAATTAATTAATTAATTAATTAATTAATTAATTAACTA